AAAAAGGGACAAGGAAAACTTATTTAGAGATTTAGAGACTTATTTAGAGATTTTAGCTGTCAAAGAACAAAGAAAAACATTGTAAACATTGCTGAAGCTAGTTAAAGGAGTTAAAGGAGTAAAATTATAGAAAAATTAGCTTCTTTCAACTTACACGATCCGTCGGCACTCTTCAATTTCACAAAAACACAAAAGAACCACACAATTAGACTGAATCCTCTCAAGAAATGCATTTCCTTTCTCTTTCTACCGTAATCTTGTCTCAACTATCTATCCAATCTATCCAATCTATTCATTTTTTAAAAATCTTTCGATATTCTTTGTAAATCCTCACAGAATTCGACAAAAAATGGATAGATTTGATAAAAATAAAGACAAGATTACGGTAGAAAGAGAAAGGACATGTTTTAGAAACGATTGAAAGTAAAAAAAGATAAAATTATGATAGAAAGCTGAAGAAAAGCTGAAGAAAAGCTGAAGAAAAGCTGAGAAAAGCTGATGAAAAGCTGAAAAAGCTGAAAAACGATGAGTTTCAAGCTAAACGACTCTAGTTCAGCCATTCGATTGACATCAATTTGTAATCTCATAGCAAAAGTAAATAAAAAAGTGCACCAGAAGGGATGTGTTTACATTTTTGAGCACAAAAATCCATTATTCGGTATATAAAGATATATAAAGTTCGGTATATAAAGAAACTTGGAAATGAATAAGTTTTTTTTTTGAAAACAAACAATTTTGAGTTAAAAATTTGTGAACGGACAATAAAAAGAGGGATTAGGCAAAAGAAAATTGTTTTTATAACTCTTAACTTTGAAACATTGATTCTAAAACGTTTAAAAAAACTACTTAGTTTCATTATACGACTGAAAAATGGTTAACTAAATCGGTTTTTAAAAAAAGAACCTCAAGATTTAGAGCTGTAGCTTTGTCTGTTACTGTAAATTACTGTAGAATGTAAATTGTACTGTAAATCAACTGGAAATTACTGTAGAATGTAAATTGTACTGTAAATCAACTGGAAATTACTGTAGAATGTAAATTGTACTGTAAATCAACTGGAAATTACTGTAGAATGTAAATTGTACTGTAAATCAACTGGAAATTACTGTAGAATGTTAGTTACTGTAGAATTACCAAATATCACAAGTTTAAACGGAAAAGAAATGAGGAAAAAAGGAAGAAAATGAGGAACAAAAGAAAGAAAATGAGAAAAATCATAATCCTCATCTTCATCTTTGTCTCAAATCACCAAAAAACAGAAAAAGCGGATCTCGTTATCACCAAGATTGTGGCAAAGAAATGAAAATGATTTGGTGTGGATTGCGGGATGACTGGAAAGCTTGAAACCCGTTTTTTCTTTGATCGAGATTTGATCGAGACTTTTTTGCCTCAGATCTTTTTCGATTTTTGCCAGCCATTTATGGGATAACCCGGCCGGCTTTTTCGTGTGCTTTTTGAAATTTGAAAAAAGAGATGAAGAGGGATTGTCGGTGGAATCGAGAATTAGATCTCTTCAATCAATCAAAAGATATGAATCTTCGCATTTGAACCGCAGGCAGATTTTCAGAGATGAACCAAGACAAAGACAAAGACAAAGACAAAGACAAGGACAAAGACAAAGACAAAGACAAAGACAAAGACAAAGACAAAGAAAAAGACAAGGACAAAGACAAGGACAAGGACAAAGACAAAGACAAAGACAAGGACAGAGACAAGGACAAAGACAAGGACAAGGACAAGGACAAAGACAAGGACAAAGACAAGGACAAAGACAAGGACAAAGACAAAGATAAAGACAAAGACAAAGACAAAAAGATTTTCAAAGATTTTCTTGGTTTCCTATCGATTTGCAACATTTTATGGTGTTTAAAATGTAAAAGATTAGCAAGTTGTTCTTTTTATTCTTTTGTTTTGTTTTGTTTTGTTTTGTTTTGTTTTGTTTGGTTTGGTTTGGTTTTGTTTTCATTTGTAAAATCTTCTTTCAGATGCTCAAACTGGTAATTTGTAAATTAGTTTTACAATGTAGCTTTTCTTTTTGAGATGATAAAAGAAACGTTTTTAGATCGAATCAACCAGAATTTCACTGTTTTTTTTGTGCTCAATTGCATAAGAAAGAGAACGGGATTGGATTGGGTGAAAAAAAATTGAAACGCTTTGCTCAAAATTCGTCACTCTCACGAGTGAAAGGATTGAATGGAAATAAGTTGATGCCAGATAAAAAAGCTAAGTTTCAAAGTCATTAATACTCAAGAAGAAATCAGTGGAGCAGTACATGCAAAAATCAAATAAAAGTATGCAGAATAAAAGATAAAAAGTTGAGTTTTCAGTGCACCAGAAAGGATTTCAGTTGAACGGATAACATAAACAAATAAATAAACAATAATAATAACTAATAAGGATTTCAGTTTTCAGTTTATAAGAATAAGAATAATAAGAATAAGAATAATAAGAATAAGAATAATAAGAATAATAATAAGAATAATAAGAATAAGAATAAGAATAAGAATAAGAATAAGAATAAGAATAATAAGAATAAGAATAAGAATAAGAATAATAAGAATAAGAATAATAAGAATAATAAGAATAAGAATAATAAGAATAAGAATAAGAATAAGAATAAGAATAATAATAAGAATAATAATAAGAATAAGAACAAGAATAATAATAATAAACATAATAATAGGAATAATAATAATAAGGATAATAATACAGATAATAATAATAATAATAATAATAACTAATAAATAATCATAGACATAAAACAGAATAAAAATCATTTTCTTGCTAGGTTCAAAAAGTTGATTTTAAAAAGGTGGTTTCAAAGTTGGGTGAGTGAAATCAGTGAATCCTTTGCTAATGGCCCGTGTGTGTGTGTGTTTGTGTTTGTGTTCCCCGCGATCAATTAATCGATCAATGGGTTTGATTTTAATTTTAATCAATTAACGCGCGATTAATGCCTTTTTTAAAACGCGCCCTCGCATTGGCCAGTTATTCAGCTAAATGAAAGTATTAAAGGCTGTGGCAAAATTTTACGCTCATTTTTTTATATTTTAGAAGTTTAATCTTATTTTGTTGTGATTGACAAACGATTTTTCTATCACTATTTTTGTTATGAAACAGCGCAAATGAAAAAATAATGCTGTTTGCTGTTAAAAATTTGCATATCTTGAATTAGCATGTTGAATTAACATGTTTTCATGACGGGATTATGGTACTTTTTCTCGGGGCGCGTTTTAGAAAACATATTAACAGACACTAGTTACTAAAGTTACTCAATCTTGCTTCCAATGCTTTAAGTTTTCCTTTGCAATCGCACAATTGAAGATATGTTACTCGAAAATAAACTGTGTTTCAAAATTATCAAGGGAAAATGAACAGGGTTTAATGAATGTTAATAAATTTAATAAAATGACCACAAATAAGCAAGTTACTCAATATTATTCAATACCAAAATAGCAATAAAAACCAGTTACCCGCTGGTTGTGGATGGTTTAGTGGAAAGGAATTGGGGTTAAAGAGGAGGGGAAAGATGGCATGCAAATGGAGGAGAAGATATCCAAAAAGAAGGGACGACCGGTTGAATGGGCAGAGCTAGGAGTAGAATCAACCCTACCCCTATCCCTTCACCTTTGACCATTCCTTTCCCTTCTTTTCTTCATTTCTTTGACCTTTATGATAGCTCTTAGGCGATTCCAGTAGTGAAAACTGTAAAAGCTAGTTTTTCTCTTCGACTCTGCGACTCAACAATAGTGTTTTTCTCAGACAATAGTGTTTGGATGTGTGTGAAAGCTTCGTGTTACAAAGTTAGGTGAAACAATTACTCCAAATCAAAGCCAGGTCAGTCAAAAGTTCTATACCTTGGCCATATTCGTGACCAGGTCAGCTAAACTTATTTCTACCATGGCTTGGCTTTTGGACTGACTGACTGAGTTGACCGTATCTTGGAGGAATTTCTGTATGCAAGCTTAGGCCGTTTTTCTAAAATTTTGGCTTTGTTTGGGAAAACTTACCGTAATCTTTCTTCCAATCTTTCTTCCAAATTCGATTTACTGAATTTTTATCCCATTCAACACACAAACGATTTCTTATCAAATGAAATCAAAATAAAGGAAACATTTTAAAAAACGGATTACAACGGGAAATCCATTTAGTCATTGGAACCGTATTGGAGCCGTATTGGAACCGTGTTGGAACCGTATTGGAACCGTGTTGGAACCGTATTGGAGCCGTATTGGAGCCGTATTGGAGCCGTATTGGAGCCGTATTGGAACCGTGTTGGAACCGTATTGGAGCCGTATTGGAACCGTGTTGGAACCGTATTGGAGCCGTATTGGAACCGTAAAAGGAACCGTAAAAGGAACCGTATTGGAACCGAATTTGAAAGAAAGATTACGGTAAGTTTTCCCAAACAAAGCCAAACTTTTAGAAAAACGGCTTATGCGAAAGGAAAAGTGTGCTTAGAATCTTGAGTTGACTTAAATTTCGTTGACTTAAACGTTAACGTTGACTTAAATTATAAAAAAACTTAAATAAATCTTAAAAATCATTCTATTGCGCCACTTTATTGTTGTTATTGCTTATTGTGATTGTTTTATTGCCACTAACTTTATTGTTTTTTTCATTCCGTGCTTTTTGGTGGTCAGAGTTGAAACTTGAAGATTATCTATGAGCAAAGATTGTTTTTCTTTTCCTCTTTCTCTTACAATCTATTTGTTTTCCCAAAAGCGCCAATCGTTCATCAAAAAAAAGGGAAAACGCGAAAAACGCGAAAAGCGCGAAAAACTTCTCGAAATCTTGTAACGTTAAATCCCTTTCAAAGACTCGGATCATCCACAGATTTTCTCAAAGTTTCGAGTTTTTTTGAGAGTTCTGGGTGCGGTCAAGCGTTTGTATTTAAAGAGAGAAACTTCTAGAAGAAACGAAAAAACTTTAGAACAAACTTCTGCAAACAAATTTCAGAGCTAAAGCTACAGAATCTTTGCTTGAAAACGATCTTCAAGATGAACTCGACGAAACTGTAGGTTTAAAGCACTTTTGTAGGTTTAAAGTGTAGGTTTAAAGCACTTAAAGCGAAAGTGTAGGTTTAATCACTGAAAAATTGAGAAAATCTTATAGAAAATTTCGAAATTGAATCCAATCAAAGCAAGTATTTGGATTAGAGTCAAAAATTGTTCAAATTCCTCTAAATTTGTTCAAATTCCTCCAAATTCGTTCAAATTCCTCCAAATTTGTTCAAACTCGTCCAAATTCCTTCCAAATTGTGCAAATTCCTCCAAATTCGTTCAAATTCATCTAAATTTGTTCAAATTCCTCCTAATTTGTTCAAATTTGTTCAAATTCCTCCAAATTCGTTCAAATTCGTCCAAAATTGTTCAAATTCCTTCCAAATTGTTCAAATTCCTTCCAAATTGTTCAAATTCCTCCAAATTGTTCAAATTCGTCCAAATTGAGACAATGAAATTTACTATCTAAATTTCCATTAGACTATTTTTATCAATCTCATCGAAAAAGCTAAAAAAATTGAAGAAAAACGTTAAACTTTGAGATACGTAGTATCTTCACGATACGATAAGATATGTAGAATTCCCAGTTTTTAAATAACAGTATGTCCGAAAATTTTGCTGAGAAGTATGCCAAGCTTTTCAAAAGCTGTCGTTAAAGCTAGTAAGATACTCAAGCTTATTGACTGAATACTTTTCATCGCAGACTGTAGCGAATTATTTAGTTGATTACAAGTTTAGCCTTTAAATTGTAAGAAGAACATAAAAGGTTTGGTAATTTCAAATTTATTGCACAAAGCTTGAAACATACTATTTCTAGTTTCATTCTCGCGATTCTCTTGTTGGCTGGAGTCGCCTTTGTCAGCCAAGTTGACGCCCAGTATGCATATTATGTAAGTCTTGTAATATGTAAGTCATATTATATTATGTAAGCACACGATTTTGTACAAGAATCGTCAATGCTTGCGTCAATTTAAAAACTCTAATAGAAAAGCTTCTGATAGAAGCGTCGCGTAGTCTAGGTCCGTTTTTAACCATTTTTGACCGTTTTTGACCGTTTTTGATCGTTTTTGATCGTTTTTGACCGTTTTTGATCGTTTTTGGGTTATTTTTGACCGTTTTTTGACCATTTTTGAGTCATTTTGACCGTTTTTAAACTATTTTGAAGAGATGTGTGCGCGCGCGTCAAAATCTTTTCGCAAAATACTTTTTTAGACTAAAAAATACATGGAGAATCCGAATTTGAGGTCAGATTTGCTCAAAAATACCTAGTTATGCCAAATTGTCACGTAAAAAATTGCCTAGTTGAAAAGCTAAAAAATGTGACCTTTCGCCGAACTCAGGAGAATCAAAGATTTTATGATAAAAACTCGAACTAGATAAGAGCTTTTAGGCTCATAATATTAGAAAAATGAAGGTTTTTGACTTGGTTTCTGAGTGTAAATCGATATCTCACAAAGAGCAAAATAAGCCACCGTCTACCACCGTCCAAAATCATTTTGAGCGCTATCTCAAAAAAATCACCTATCTTCTCCACTTTAATTTGATACCTAAGCGCCTAGAAACACACGTACTGGTGTCAAGATATGAGCGAGTAAACTTCTGTCTTGGTTGCCGTTTCGGACGACTGTTATCTACCGTAAAAGCTCTAATAGAAGAGCCCCTATAAAAGCGTCGCGTAGTCAAAGTTTACTCTTAAAGAAGCACGAATATCTCGACACCAGTACGTTTGTTTCTAGGCCCTTAGATATTAAATTAAAGTAGAGAAAATGGGTGATTTTTTCAAGATATAACACATATTTGTTTGCGTTAATCAACGCTTAGAAAAAATGATTGAAAAATGATGAAAAATCGGCTTTTTTTCCACTTTTCAATCATTTTGTTCTAAGTGTTGATTAATGCAAAAAATATATGTTATATCTTGAAAAATCACCCATTTTCTCTACTTTAATTTGATACCTAAGGGCCTAGAAACAAACGTACTGGTGTCGAGATATTGGTGTTTGTTTAAGAGTAAACTTTGACTACGCCACGCTTCTATAGGGGCTTTTCTATTAGAGCTTTTAAGATAGTTCTCCTTTTTTTTCAGTATCCCAACTACTACAGCGGCTACAGCTATTACCCGTACTCGTATGGCTATTATTACCCATACAACTACTACAGCTACTATGGTGAGTTTTAATTTTAACGTGTTTAAAAGCAAAGTGAAGTCCTAGCCTTAGCCCTAATCCACTCTATTTTCTAAAACGTGTCCTTTTCTTTTTCTATCGCAACCTTGTCTCTATTTTTATCCAATTCATTCACTTTTTGTCTGATTCTGTTTTACAAAGTGTATTGAACGATATAAAAAAGTAGATAGATTGATTAAAAATAGGACAAGAATACGGTGGAAATCATTTAAATAAGAAGCTGGGGTACTATTACAGTATTTACTGTAGGTTCTCTATTCAAACACAGTCAGCTCCTTAGAAATAGTCTGTTTCAAAGTGATCGGTTTTAAATTTGAAACTCTTTACCCAATAACAAAGATGGTTCAGCATAAAATTGTTTTAGAAAACGAATTGATTAAAAGGAAAACTCTCTAATAAACATAGTTTTAGAAGATACAGTATCTAATAAACTTGTAACGAAAATATCTGTCAGTAATTCATGCAAATTTAGTTAATTTTGGTATCATTCGACGCGCGATTTTATTCTGCATCGAATGGTAGTCAAAATAGTCAAAATCGAAGAGTTGCTACTGAGAAAAACACGAAAAACCTTCAATTGCCAACGGCAAAGGACTGACTGATGTTTTTGTCTAGTCTAGTGTCTAAGTTTAGTACCTAATCATAAAATAATCAATTAAATACTTTACAAGAACCAAATTTGTTCAGGAAAACGTGAGGTGAACTGGAACGAGGCGCCTGGACATCAACAACAACAACAACAGGTTTCAAAATCTAGAAAATCAATAGATTTCATCAAAAACTTATCAATAGACATTGTAATAGACAAAATTAATGAAAAAAATAGATAAATTTCGAGTTTATATAAGTATTAGTCCGATAATTTAACAAAATCAATGATTTTTTTCAGATCCCATCCCCCTCACGGGCAACACTAGGGGGCAACACTATAGGAAATGCTTACTAATCTTTTCAGAAAAGAACACTGCCAAAAATATTGTGTTTCAAATTCACTAAAGAAAACTCAGGATGTACAAATTTGCAATATTTGATAGAAATTATAGTTTACTTTTTTCCTTTATTGTGTTTTGTAAAAATTTTATCCAAATCTAGCCATTCGTCAATCGATTAACGTCTACTAAACCTTAATTTCTTTGAAACAAAGTTTTTTTAAGCCAAAATAAATTGCTTGCTTAGCTTTCAGATACATTTATTGCATTTAAAAAGTATATTATAATGTATTGTTGAGCAAAATTGAATCAGAAAAATGAATCATTTCACAATTTACAAAGTATGAAAGGGATTCTGGAAATCGGTTCAATCTTGGAGTTGATTGACAAAAAAGTGATCAAATGTGGATGGAGATTGGCTGTAAGATCGATCTGTAGGATCTATAGTTCTGCAAGCTCTGTAAGATCTATAGTTCTGCAAGATCTGTAAGATCTGTAGTTCTGTAAGCTCTGTAAGATCTATAGTTCTGCAAGCTCTGTAAGTTCTGCAAGCTCTGTAAGATCTGTAGTTCTGCAAGCTCTGTGAGATCTGTAGGTTCCGTAAGTTCTGCAAGCTCTGTAAGATCTGTAGTTCTGTAAGATCTGTAAGATCTGTAGTTCTGCAAGCTCTGTAAGATCTGTAGTTCTGTAAGATCTGTAAGATCTGTAGTTCTGTAAGATCTGTAAGATCTGTAGTTCTGCAAGCTCTGTAAGATCTGTATTTCTGTAAGATCTGTAAGATCTGTAGTTCTGTAAGATCTGTAAGATCTGTAGTTCTGCAAGCTCTGTAAGATCTGTATTTCTGTAAGATCTGTAAGATCTGTAGTTCTGTAAGATCTGTAAGATCTGTAGTTCTGCAAGCTCTGTAAGATCTGTAAGAGCTGTAAGAACCCTTTTGTAAAAAATTTTAATCGAAATCTAGCCATTCGTCAATCACTTAACGTTTCAAGGTTAATTTCTTTGAAACAAAGGTTTTTTAAGCCAACAATTGCTTGCTGCGATTGCTTGCTTAGCTTTCAGATACATTTATTGCATTTAAAAAACATATTATAATGTATTGTTGAGCAAAATTGAATCAGAAAAATGGATCATTTCACAATGGCTGATGTGGGCATCTCTTGCACTCCGCAAACGTTCTTCCCGCGGTATAAACTGGAAATTTTCTTGATGTGGAATTAAAAAATGTGAAATTCTAATGTTTTCTTACTTTAAGTACTTTGAGTTTCTTAAAGTTTCTTAAAGTTGAAGCATTTATGCTAAGCCTAAGCCAGTCATTGTTCTGCCAAGCAGAAAAGCTTTGCTAAAATTGAAAAATTAAAATTAAGGGCAATAATTTCAAAGGCAAATGTTAAAAAAGTAACTGAAAGTTGTTAAAATTGTTATTGATAAATGTGTTTCCTTTTTAGTATTAAAGTTGTACAAGCTCTCAACTTGTACAAGCTCTCAACTTGTACAAGCTCTCAACTTGTACAAGCTCTCAACTTGTACAAGCTCTCAACTTGTACAAGCTCTCAACTTGTACAAGCTCTCAACTTGTACAAGCTCTCAACTTGTACAAGCTCTCAACTTGTACAAGCTCTCAACTTGTACAAGCTCTCAACTTGTACAAGCTCTCAACTTGTACAAGCTCTCAACTTGTACAAGCTCTAAACCTAGTAATCTACTAGTCTCCATAGATATTGAATACCATGTACAATCGTTAGTACATGACGAAAGGAATTCAAAAAGGACACTACGAGAGAGAAAATCCTACAAAGTATGGAAGGGACTCTGGAAATCGGTTCAATATTGGAGTTGATTGACAAAAAAATGATCAAATGTGGATGGAGATTGGCTGTAAGATCGGTCTGTAAGCTCTGTAGGATCTGTAAGCTCTGTAGGATCTGTAAGCTCTGTAGGATCTGTAAGCTCTGTAGGATCTGTAAGCTCTGTAAGTTCTGTAAGATCTCTAAGTTCTGTAAGATCTCTAAATTCTGTAAGATCTCTAAGTTCTGTAAGTTCTGTAAGATCGGAGTTAGGTTAGTTTCTGTAAGATCGGAGAACACTTTCTCCAGCTTGAAACATTAACCCTTTTCCTTTCCAAGTTTTAACACATTCACCCCCGGTGAGCCGTACTAATGACGATTATTTTTAGCGTCAACTCGACTTCTTAAGGATTTTGTTATCCATTTCGCAGAAAGTTCTCGGTAAATTTGTAGCAGTTTTCAAGAGAAGATTCAGGGCTATCGAATGACTGTGATAGTTTAGTTTTTCTTTGAATCTTCACAAAATTATCGGTAAAACAGTAATTACTACGCGACTGTACATTCAAAATGCCGACGTCGTGAATGTATTAAGCAAGCGCATTCATATAGATCAATGGCCGCGTGCCGAATGTGTAGTTTTGAATAAGCAAAAGTTGCTCTCACCGATAATATCCATTCTCTCCCCAGCGTTGTCCCCACGAGTTCTTCACGATCCAGTAGGGCTAAATTCGGTTTTTTTTGAAACATTTATTATATAAAAAGTTGAAGTTTGGTCTCAAAAGTGTCTCAAAAGTGCTAAATTCGGGCTAGACATGGGAAAGGAGCTTTTACTGATTCATAAAACAAGATCAATGAATCCATAACAAATGATGGCTGATTAAATAAAGGTGGAATGAGGTTCCGGTTGGAATTTTCCCTTTTCTAGCCCGGATTTAGCACTTTTTTGAGGCTAATTTGGCTGAAAATTTACAGCAATGGGTTTTCGGGGTCAAGGGATTCGAATCCGTTATTGGTTTTTAAAGAAAATTGCTCTATTTTTGGATATTTCATTCGGTTCAATTACCCAAGTTCAATCCCAAATCCAGGGCCATTTCCCAGAAGGTCGTGCTTACAAAAACGAGAAAATTTTCATGTTAACGTAATCGCACAACTTCTGGCACACGGCCTATAACGATATAAGACAGAACCCAAACTTGTTTTTGCTCTTTTTTTCTCCAATTCGCTTTAATTACCTAAGTTTTCGAGTTTTGTGATGACCGTATTGGCTCGGAAATTAAAATTGCTTAAAAACTAATAACTGATTCATATTCTCCATCCCAGAATGCTTCCGGTTACAAATTTTCAGGCCTACAGCTAACATGCCGTAAAAAAGTCTGATATAAGAGTCCCTATAGGAGCGTCGCGTAGTCAAAGTTTACTCTTAAAGAAGCACGAATATCTCGACACCAGTACGTTTGTTTCTAGGCCCTTAGATATCAAATTAAAGTAGAGAAAATGAGTGATTTTTTAAGATATAACACATATTTGTTTGCGTTAATCAACGCTTAGAAAAAATGATTGAAGAATGATGAAAACTCGGCTTTTTTGCCACTTTTCAATCATTTTTTTCTAAGCGTTGATTAATGAAAAAATATGTGTTATATCTTGAAAAATCACCCATTTTCTCTACTTTAATTTGATACCTAAGCGCCTAGAAACGAACGTACTGGTGTCGAGATATTGGCGCTTGTTTAAGAGTAAACTTTGACTACTCGACGCTTCTATAGGGGCTTTTCTATTCGAGCTTTTACGGTAGATAATTGTCGTCCGAAACGGCAGCCAAGACAAAAATGGCTTTATCGTGAATTTTTAAACAAAGACTCTGGCTTTTTAGCAGTATAAAAAAAGTTTTTGATGAAGTTCTTATTGTAAAAAGTTTTCCACTCACCTTATTCTTTTCCTCTCCATACCCAACAATCAACACTCCATGATTTAGCATGAACGGCTCGCAGAACATCTGAATTCCTTGATTGCCTCGATTTCCTTTGAAAGCGAAAAAAGTGAAAAATGGAACTTTAAGAAATGAGTTTTCTAAACTTGAAAAAAAACTCATTTATAAGTAAACTTAGTATAATGAAAGGCTGATTTAAAGAAAAATATTCAAATTAAGCCTATATTGAGGCATTGTTGTGCAAAAACGGCAATCTTTGATCTAAAGAGGTATCAGAAAGATTGATTGAAAACAAAATCTAGTAGCTTAAGCTTCAAAAGTGAGTACAGAAATCTTTATGAAAAAAATTTGCCGGGGCTTTCTATGGAAAAAATTATTATTTAACCATAAAGTTTCAAAAGACTTGCTCGTTTACTCAATTTTAAATTGTTTTTACCTTCCATGGATGCGAGATCCCGTGACGATAGAATTGAAGAGTGTTCGCGTTGATGCCTAGAAATTTGCGAGAGTTGATTGATTATTTGAGGCTGATTATTTGAGGCTGATTGTTTGATTGTTTGGCTGATTGTTTGGCTGATTGTTTGGCTGATTGATTGATTGATTGATTGATTGATTGATTGATTGATTGATTGATTGATTTGATTGATTGATTTGATTGATTTGGTTGATTTAATTGATTTGATTGATTGATTTGTACTGGTGTCGAGCTATGAGCTAGTAAACTTTTGTCTTGGCTGCCGTTTCGGACGACAGTTATCTGGTCAAACGTACTGATCAAATCACCCATTTGATACCTAAGCGTGTAGAAATAAACGTACGGGTGTCGAGATATTTGTGTTTGTTTGAGAGCAAACTTAGAGGCGACGCTCCTCTTCTATTAGAATCTTTATGGTACTTCTGTAGCTTATAAATCCTTATTTGTTTTGATCAAATGGCATGAAAAAGATAAATACATAAATCAATTGATTTCATAAATCAATTTTAACAAAATACGCAACTTTGTGTCGAGATTTGTTTCATTGAGCTAAGCTGATTGGAGTTTCGGTATTTATTTTAGTGTTTTCGTAAAGGTAAGGGATACTAAAAGTTAAGGTTTAAAAAGTTCTAAACGTTTAAAACGTTCTAAACATTTAAAAACGTTCTAAACATTTTAAAACAAAGTTCTAAATGTTAAAAGTTAACGTTTAAAAACCAAATGCTTGTTTCAAAGTTTGTTTGAAGTTTCAAGCTTTGTTTTAAGCCTTCTTGCCTTCTTTCAAGCCCAAGAAAAGCAGTTTCAAGCTCTGCTTTGAGGAAAAATGTTTTCGATCAGTTGAACGGGAGTCAACGGAAAACATCGCCGCTCACGAGATTTCTTCCGTTTTCTTTTTTGCTTCCTTCGAAATCCTCGAATCCACCCCCACACTTTTCTGATGGAAAGAGGAAGCGAGTGGATTTCTCCGAAAGAAAGCTTTTCACTAAAGCAAAGAAATCAAATGTTTACCCGAAATCGATCAAATCGACGCAAATGATCGAGTCTCTCGTTTGCAACTGATCACTTTGCTTTAGAAATTATCTTAAATCAAAATTCGGATATCTCTATTTGGTCGATTTTTCTATTTTCTTTCATTAAACAATTCCATTGTGTCACTTTGTTTGTTTAGAATTGCAGTTTATTAGTTTTTACTTTTTATCTGAGAAAAATCTAGCTGAGAAGACTTTAAAATCTGGATTAAAACGATAAAATCATTTAATTTCGATACAAATCATTTGCTGATTATGTACATTTGCTGATTATGTAGATTTGCTGTTTATTTTTGAAGCTTCATTTTTAATTCTCTAGAACTTTTCCATTCACACCAAAATGGGTTTCTTTTGAAGAAAGTGCTCAAAAGGTGACAGCTGACAATAGCCGGCTGACAGCTGACAATAGCCGGCTGACAGCTGACAATAGCCGGCTGACAGCTGACAATAGCCGGCTGACAGCTGACAGCTGACAATAGCCGGCTGACAGCTGACAATAGCCGGCTGACAGCTGACAATAGCCGGCTGACAGCTGACAATAGCCGGCTGACAGCTGACAATAGCCGGCTGACAGCTGACAATAGCAGTTTTCAATTCACCAACCCAATAGATATCAACCTAATAGATTTTGTGCTTAATCAAAACAACAAATACTACCCCTTTTTTCGTCTAGACGATCACGAAATACAAAAACGTTTCAACTAAATGTTCTTCTAATTTTCTGAAAGAAGCAAAGAGCTGAAAGAGATTTGTGTTGTCATTTTTCTCCACATGATCGACACAAATCTTCAAGAAACCACTTGAGAATTCCTCTTTTTTTTCTCTTTGATTCTGATCAGTTACAGAAATCTGATTGAAGAAATCTCTTTTGAAATCTCTTTTGATTTTGATCTCTTATCCACCCTCAAGAATTTACACTCACTCAAACAGATAGAGAACTCTCGAAGGCGAACAGACTTGCCTAGAACTTTGATTCATTTAGAGAACTGAGATGCCTGGGGAACTAAGAGAACTAAGCTGAAGGTTTTTGATGCTATTTTTTTGAGTTACTTTGGTTTTGAGAGCTTACTGTTTTTGATCAGTTACTGACTTTAAAGAATTGGCTGGCTCTGGCTTGGTGATTGTATCTTTAGAAATATCTTAAGACTTTTGAAATCTTTACTTTATAAATCTGTTTAGAATACTTCCGTGATTTTCCGCTTGTATCACTTTAAAATAGAGTAGGCTTAGAGTAAGCTTTGCTAATCGTAACTGTCTAAATTGTTACTGGCAATTGAGACTTCTAAATTGCTACTTCTATTAGGTTGATGCATAAGTCTTTTCGTTTTTTTCGTACTTCTGTTAAAAAGTAACAAATTCACCAATTAATCTATAGTTTGCTCTATAAAAAAAAGCGTTTTTTTTGTTCAATTTGCATCTTTTTAAATGAATTTCGGTTCACTTTCAAGCAAATTCGAGAGTGAAAAACGCCTTTTTCGTAAAAATCTATAAAAAACTCTACGGAAAAATTGGCTGAATGAATTTCTCTGAAATTTTGGCGAAATATCAAACTTTTTTTTCTCTATCTTTTATCTATTGACACGAAGATAGGTTTTCTTTAGCTAAGGTGTCTAAACCGCATCATCGAGTTAGCCCTTTTTGACTACCCGACTTCATACTCTCAAGAAAATCCAGGCATTAAATATTTTTAAACCCGTTTTAATGTTATTTTGCAGAAAAATAATTGCTTTTTCTAATGAAATCAACCGTAGTTTAATTCGTGCATTTGTTGGCTTGAAACGGCAGACGAAAAGGAACAAAACACTTATGCATCAACCTATTAAATTGCTTTGCTACTTTAACTAATTGCTATTTTAACTAATTGCTACTGTCAATTGCTATCGTAATCTATTTACAGTAATTTAAATTATAACTTAAATTATAACTTAGATTCTAACGAGTTTTAAATTTAAATTTATTTAAATTATAACTTATAACTCTAATAAGGTTTTTCTTAACGCTTGATAAAGCTTTTTGACAAAAGAATTGAAAATGAAAATTCTTGAAATTGCTTTTTAATTATTTAAGTAATTACCGTAAATACTGTAATAGTACCCCATCCCCATAATGACGGTGCGGAGTGTTGCGTAGTCTAGCTTTGAACGATTTTTTCTCGACACTGGTTTATGCTACAATGCGCGCTTAGGTATCAAAAAATAGCCCTGAATTTCAGCTATTTTTTTGATACCAAAGACACATTTTTGAAAGTACGGGCGCTTTGAAAAAAATGAAATACTAAAAAACTTTTGCGACTACGCGACTGTACGAGGCGGGTGGGGTACTATTACAGTATTTACGGTAGGTTTGATTTGATTAATCTGATCATAGCTTTCTTAAGACTAAAGAAAGTCTGATTCCTTAGTGATTTTCATTATCCATTTTCTCAATGGTTTCATGATTCATTTATTCCTTTTTGTCTATAAATCTTGAGAGTATCATCTATTTTTGATCAACTCGAGTTCTTCTTGAGTATTTGTGTCACTCGTCAGACAGACTCCACCCCCACAAATCAAAATTTCATTTGGGAAATCTTGAGTTTCAAAATATTTGATATCAGTGTCCTTTGAGTGGGTTTATTTTTAAATGCTTTTGTTTTTCCTCTTAAGCCTTGCTAAAATCCTCTTAAGACTTTAGAAATCTTTATAAATCTGTTTAGAAATGAAAAGCTCATCAATTATCAATTGGCCTACGGTTTGCTTTGAATAGAAGATGTCAATTTTACACTTTTCTATTTTTCTTTTATCTTCTATTCAATTTAAATCCGTTTCCAAGAAAAACCCAAGCGCAAAAAACTCATTTTGCGTAAAATTCGATAAAAGGTAATGCAAAGGAATTGTTTCTGTGGGATCAAAGTGTTTCAATCGCAGGGTTTTTGCTCTTTTTGACTGCTTGAGTTTGCATTCCGAACAAAAACCAGAACAAAAAAAACATTTCTGAAGATTTCAACGATCTTTTATAGAAAAAGCAGCCGAAAAATCAGCCGAAAAACCAGTCAAAAAAAAACCAGCCTAATGGTGGGTTTAACTAGCTAGATGTTTTGAGGCTTTTTTTTTGTCGTCGTGGCCCAGTCGGAAGCGCGCTTGTCTACGGCCCACACGATTCGGGTTCGACTCCGTGTCGTGACTTTTGCTTTTTAAAAAAAGGAAAGATTGAGATGCACAAAAAGAGTAGATTTTCTTAGCCTTAATGCTTAAAATCGGCCGTGCGAAAATCGAGCGTACAGAAGGACAACAACACTTTCCTTTTTATATGTTATGTACGATCTAGACTGATTCTAGATTGGACGTCCGATCTAGAATCAGGCCGATCACCCTAAAAATCAGACATCCGATCCAGACTTAGATTTAGAGTGATCGACTTGTTTCTAGTTCGGAGGTTTAACCTCACTTTACGCTTGATCGGACGTCATATCTAGAATCAGATTAGATTGGTCGTAACAGATATGTTGTGTCCAATTTGAATTGAGACAATCTCAAGAGTTACAATAACGTGTTCTCACTGTTATCTTCGTTATCTAGACATAGAATTGAACTAGATCTAGACATAGAATTAAACCCATTTTTAGCAGCATCCACTTTGAAACTTTCTTTAGGCTTGAAACGAAGTCTAAAGCTTTATTTTGTCAATTTTGGCTTGTTATTTGGATTGTTTTCTTTTGTATAATTTCAAAGATTATTTCATTTTATGAATTTTAGCTGATCAACATCGAAATTCGAACTTTCATTGTGACAAAAATCCCATAAAATGCCCCAATGGCGTCATCGTTTCAGTGAAATCGCAAGTAAAAAGGTGAAAACGGCGTCAAATTCGGCTATTTCCACGACAAACGGATCGAATGCGGAAACGAAAAGATTGAGGTTTCAAGTTTTTCAAGATAAAAGCTTAAAACCCAAATTTATCAATGTAATCAGTTTAAAGAAAGTTTTAAAAGTTCGGATTTTTAAAATTAAGTTGTTTGCACTATTAAGTTGTTAAAATATGCAGTGTTTTGAAATTTATGGTTTGAAATTTATAAAATAAAAAGATCAAGATCGAATTATCAACAGATTGTCTTGTTTGGCTTTTTGAAATTGTTTTATTTATTTGTTTTATTTACAAGCTAGACAAGAAACTTAAAATTGAAAACTTTGATAGTTGATCTTGAAGCGGAAAGAAGGAAAGAACTAAAGAGCCAAAGAACCAAAGAGCTGAAGAGCTAAAGAACTAAAGAACTAAAAAACTAAAGAGCTAAAGAACCAAAGAACTGAAGAGCTAAAGAACTAAAGAACTAAAGAACTACAAAACTAAAGAACTAAAGAACTAAAAGCTAAAGAACTAAAGAACTAAAGAACTACAAAACTAAAGAACTAAAGATTTACTCAAAGTTAATCCACCGTTAATTCAAGGAGAGGTTCTTTCGTTAGAAATTCTTAGTTTTAGAAATTTCAGTCACCTCCAATAAGTTCGTGTATAACTCTTTTCCAATAAGAACTGCCAAAATTTTGAAACGACTCCCCAAACGACTCCCCGACTCCCCAGAGAGTCCAATAGTCTCGAAACCTTTAAACTATCTGTAGATGATCTTGAGATCTTGACCTTGAAGCTCTAGTGGATCCTTGACGTCATCTGTGCTACCCATTACATACATTATATCGTCTTGCCTTTCGGCCCTTTTCGTGTTATGTGTATGAATTCGTGTGTACTAATCTTAAATCTAGCGCTTAAATCTTAAATACTTTATTTCAGGTTCTGAATATGTTGTATTCGAATTGGATTTTTATCTGATTATCTGATTTGGATTCAATCCAAATCGGATACAACATATCTACACATAAACACGAAAAGCAACACGTTATAATGTATGTAATATTTGGATTTGGACTGCCAGAATTTTGAAACGACTCCCCAGAGTTTTGAGAGAGTCCAATAGTCTCAAAACCTTTAAATGATGTTGATATCTGTAGATGATGTTGATCTTGAAGCTCTAGTGGATCCTTGACGTCATCTGTGCTACCCATTACATACATTATATCGTCTTGCCTTTTATCGGCCCTTTTCGTGTTTATGTGTATGAATTCATGTGTATTAATCTTAAATCTAGCGCACTTTATCTAAGGTCCTGAATAAAGTATCTATATATATATACTGGTTTGAAATTTAAGTTTTCAAATTTAAAGTTTCAAATTTATCAAATAAAAAGATCAAGATCGAGTCATTAATAGATGTCCTTGTTCGGTTTTTTGAAATTGTTTTATTTATTTGTTTTATTTGCAAGCTAGACAAGAAACTTAACATTGAAAACTTTGATAGCTCAAAAGTTCTATTAATTCTAGAAATTTTAGATTTCTAAACAAAAAGCCGCTTTGTCTACAGTACAATTTGGCGGCCGGGAGGAAAGCGCTGGCGAAAGCGAAAAGGAGAGAACGTAAGGATTGTTAAAGTGCACAGAAAATCGTGATTGTGCTTTCTTACGGTAGCAACTAGACAGCCACTTTACTGGACTTTACTTTACTTGCCTTGGCTCAGAAATTGTACTTTTTTGTCAGCCATTAACACATTAGCGACAATCCGGCTCATTAGAGATAAAATTCCAAACCGAACCTAACTCTACTTTCGTTTTCACAGCCGTCTCTTAACCGATTGATCTGAAATTTTGTCTACAGGGTGACCAAGAATACAAGGCTTAACTCATTGCCAGTCCAGTCCAGACTGATTTTCGAGGCTAAGCCAAAGTCAAGCCAATTATTTTCGCTCAATTTTTCATAAATTCAAGGTCAAGCTAAACCAAAGCAGAGGCTTTGGTAATCCAACGGTAAGTTTGAAATGCCAGACTACTGATTGTCGAGGAAACGAAAATTGCAAAGCAAAATGGAATGATTGAAATAGAGATTGAGAATTTTTAATAGAGAAAAGTGGCCAAATGACAGATTCGCCGAAGACATGTCGACTAGCGCTCATTCAAGCGCTTGTTAAATGAGTTGTATACGTTCAATCGGGATGTTTTTGGTAGATAAATGTTGCCGAGAATTAGGCCTACAATTCTCTGTATAACACTTGCCACTTTTGAAATAAATTAGACATTTCCCAGATACTCTTCCAAAAAGTTGTTGCGGTAATTCTTGGTCACCCTGTACAAGCAGAAAATGCCAATCTCTATTTCAATCATTCCATTTTGTTTTGAAATTTTGGTATCTGATAATCGACAATTAGTATCCTGGCATTTCAATTTTACCGTTGGATTATCAAAACCTTTGCTTTGGTTTAGCTTGATTGCTTTGGTTTAGCTTAGCTTTGGTTTAGCTTAGCTTTGGTTTAGCTTTGGTTTAATTGGCTTGACTTTGACTTAGCCTCGAAAATCAGTCTGGACTGGACTGGCAATGAGTTAAGCTTGTAAAAACAATTTTCAGCGTCACTTGTCTACGCTTTTGTGGTGGGCGCTGTGTCGCTAATGAAATGGATTCTGGAGGTGATTTTATTGACAAGCTAAGAGCACAAATGGAAATATTAGGTTGATGCAAAAGTCTTTTTCATTTTTTTCGTACTTCCGTTAAAAAGTAACAAATGCACCAATTGAACAACGGTTTATTGCATTCGAAAGGCCAATTATTTTTCTGCAAAATGACATTAAAACGAGTTTAAAATGTCTTATGTCTAGATTTTTTTGAGAGCCTGAAGTCGGGTAGTCAAAAAAGGCGACGGCTCGATGATGCATTTTAGACGCTTTAGCTAAGGAAACCAATCTTGATGTTAATAAATAAAAGATAGAGCACAAAAAGTTAGATATTTTTTCAGATTTTCAGAGAAATTGATTCAGCCAATTTCTTTATAGAGGTTTTTATAGATTTTTATGAAAAACCCGTTTTCACTCTCGAATTTGCTTGAAAGTGAACCCAAATTGACTTAAAAAGATGGGAAATTCAACAATAAACACTTTTCATTTAGAGCAAACCATAGGTTAATTGATGACTTTGTTATTTTTCAAAAGAAGTACGAAAAAAATGAAAAAGACTTTTGCATCAACCGAATATTATCATTGAATGATATTTCATTTTGCTAATCACAAAACTTTTCAGACAGCTCAACGAGAAGTGACCGATTTCTTGTTGAAGCCAGTCGACGAGCCGATGATGCAAGAGTACGATCAAAGAAAGGTTTCTCGGTCCTTCTTTAACCCAAATCGATAACCGAATAACCCAAATCGATCCACAAAATAGAAACGAAAAGATATAGAAAACGATTTGGACCTAGAAAGCTTTCCCTGTGTTACCTTTCTCATAACAATAACATCTTTCGTAGTATTAGGCTGTCTAGAAAGTCTTTTCGTTGTCAACGGAAGTACGAAAAGGAAAGAAAAGACTTTCTGGAGTGCCTAATAAGTCTAATAATAAGTTCAATCTCGAATTCTATACAAAGAATTGTTAGAGATATATCAATGAATTTTGTAGAGACGGCGGAGTGTCTGTGAAGGGATCAGCCATTCCCATTCTCAATCCACTCAGCGCCGGGCCTCATCTCCCCAAATATGGTTCGGGCTCGATGGCCCGGATGGCAGTTGCCGGACGCCGATTGTTGATCAATCGGAAGATTTGCTCAAAAGTGAGTGGATATTCAGCTGAACAGCAGTATATACCATTTATCTAAGAACGTCAAGGCTACCGTACTCTAAGCTTTTCAAAAAGTACTACAGGAAAAGTTATCGTACTAAAGCTATCGTATAAAAAAGCTACCTACTAAAGCTACCGTATAAAAAGCTGCCGTATAAAAAGCTACTGTACTAAAGCTGTCGCATAAAAAGCTACCGTACCAAAGCTATCGTATAAAAAGCGCCCTACTAAAGCTATCGTATAAAAAGCTACCGTATAAAAAGTACAGTACTAAAGTCACCGTATAAAAAGCTACCTACTAAAGCAACCTACTAAAGCCATCGTATAAAAAGCTGCCGTATAAAAAGCTACTGTACTAAAGCTACTTTATAAAAAGCTACCTACTAAAGCTACCTACTAAAACTATCTACTATAGCTACCTACTATAGCTACCTACTAAAGCTATCGTATAAAAAGCTGCCGTCTTTGAAAATCAAAAGTTATAACTAGTAATCTAGGCCCCCGTTTGACGAGTAGTACTGTCAGTGTTGAATTCAGAGTCTTTTATTGAAATTTCCCAATCTCTAGATCCCTTTCCTTCAGATTTTATCCATTCTACTTAATCTTGAGCTCACGAGGAATTCATCTGTGAATTAAATGAGATAAAAATGAAGGAAAACAGAAAAAAAATCTAAAAAAACCTTTCCCAAATTGTTTACCTTTTAAAAGACAAAGAAAATTGAAACAAAACAAAGATTTTCAGTCGCTTTTAGCCACGGCTGAGCTCGCTGTTTACGCGCGACTTTGGACGGGCAAAGAGAATGCAAATGAACATTGATCGACATGCGGAATTGTGCTATATTGATGAAAAATTTGATTTCTACGGATTATCTTGAGGAGATGGCTTCCAAAGAAGTCAAAACCGGAGCTTAAAAGCAAAATTTAGCAAAATTTAGATTCAAAACTTGTCCACTTGCTCGTTTTTTCCAGAAATTTCTTTCATTTGCTGTTAGTCAACTTAGTTTTATTTGGTTTTGCTTTTAAAAAAAGTTCTTTCAAAGTTATTTAAATGTTAAAAATTCTTTTTGTTTTTAATGTTTCAATCTACCGTATTTCTTCGAATAGAAGACCGGGTAAAGAGTATGATCGCGTACTCCTGCGTAGCAGCCCTTTTTAAAATTTCTTTTCTGCATAAAAGCTTTCAATCAAGTGCTATAGAGCTGGAAAATGGCAAATCGAAAAAAAATCTGTTAGCTCATGTGGTATTTTTGAGCCATTTTCCAGCTCTATAGCACTTGATTGAAAGCTTTTATGCAGAGAAGAAATTTAAAAAGGGCTGCTACGCAGGAGTACGCGATCATACTCTTTACCCGGTCTTCTATTCGAAGAAATACGGTATTTCACAACTGACAATTCATAAGTTTGGCTTTTCAATTTTTTTAATCACTTTAAAATGTTCAAATTCTTTGTAGCAGCAAAGAATATGCCAAAAAAATTACTTTTCTCCATTGATTTTCTCCATTGATCTCAATTTTGTGAATACTCAAGTGTACAGAATAAATCTTTTGTTTTTGGAATTGAAAATTCTTTTTTGAAATCATTTAAAGAAAACTTTACTTGCTTTTCTCAACTAAAGCGGTTTTATAAAGCTTATCCCTTTCTCTTTCTTCTCTAATCTTGTTTTTCTCTCTAATCTCTAATCTGTCTCTTTTTTATTCATCCAATCTATCTACTTTTCGTTTAGTGATCGAAAGTAGATCAAAATATACAAAAGAAATTGATATGTTACCTCCGTTTTTGAAACCTTTTTAACAGAATAATATTTTCTCTAATAGTATTGCACCCCAGCGAGCCGAGTTGATAACTATTTTACGGCTTCCAAAGTTTTCACAGAAGCTCAACACTCAAATCCCCCACAAGATCTCATCGTCAGCTACATTTTCCGACCTCACATCGATAGGTTCTGATAAGTAGTTCTCGAGATTTCGAGCAATTTAGGCAACGCTCAGGGTGCACTACTATTAGAGAGAATACGGTATCCATTTTAGATTCAACAATAGTTTTAACAATTGCTGAGCTGGTAAATCATGTTTTTGACAGTTTTTGGCAGCTTTTGATGCGTTTTTGCACTAAATCACTTTTTATACCAAAAACAAGGTCAGAAGCAATAGCAATAGAAGTATTTTAGCAACATTTATTGAATAACTTAGCAGAAAACTAAAACTTAGTATACTTTTACTTTAAAAAATGACTAAATTCGGCAAAAATTACAGGGTTTTAGTGCAAACACGCATCAAAAACTGTCAAAAACACGATTTACCAGCGCAGCAATTGTGAAAAACTATTGCTGAGGTTAAAACGAATCGATTTAGACTCAGAAACTAAATCGGAAAGAACATATTCTCAAGATACTCACCAATACTGATCGGTCCTTTCGTCGCCAACCATGCCTGCATTTGCACCTCATCGTGGGGCAATTCCACCGAGTCGTTGATGTACACGGAAATGTCCTGAAGAAGTTGATCTTTTAAATTTAAAGTCTTCAATGATCGGCTGACTCGGCGATGCAAATTGCTTTCATTTTTCTCTCAGGCAAACCTTCTTCAAGATGTGACAAGTTTCACCCTTTGCATCATACGGATACGAATCTTCTGACTCCATTCCTCCCAATCGAATGATTTCCCTGAAATTTCAACAAAATTTTTGACAATCGAGTTGACAAAAAGAGCAAAGACATTAGCTCTTTGATGCTGAAAATGTTGAAACTTTTAAAGACCAAAAAATTGAAAGTCTAATCTGTAATCTGGAAATTTGGCAAGTTTTCAACATCTCGCTTAAAAGGCTTAGGCTTAAAAGGCTTTTCTCGCGCGATATGAATATGGGCTGGTGGTCTAGTGAATAAGGTGCTTGTACACCAAGCGAGCTGTGCAGTTTTGGCTCGGGTTCGAGTCCTCGAGTCACCGTAAAGTCGTTAGATGGACTTTAGAACGATACAAGAACAGTATCATTATTGCTAAGTATTGATCATTCGATTACTCACTTGTAAGCATTACTCGGCAATCCACCACCACATCCTTGATCGAGCGTGTCGCAGTCGACGAGCTCTTGTTCACTGAACAATTACAATTACAATTACAACATTATTCTAACTGAAAACCCTTTAGACGAAATTTTTCAACTCTCAAATAGCAAAAGCTCAACTGTTTAAACACTTTCAAAGGCTTTTAATAATAGTTATAGACTAAAAAAGCTTAATGACATCGAAAATCAGATGAAAACCCAACCAAAAACACCTTTGAGCTCTTGAAAATTTGGGTATAGTTAGGGTGCAAAAAAGAATTTTAGAATGACATTGAAAAATAAAAGAGCCGGCTCTTCTATTAGAATGTTCATGGTAAGCTTTTTTCAACTAGAATAAATTTTCCGCAAAAACCTCAATGAGACGAGTTGCCCTTTCGCGATAAACCATTGTCCCTCAACGTTTCCCGTCGTCGAAAAAGCCCAGCATGAGCCTGAAGATTTTAGAATTTCAAAATATTCCGGTAAAAGATCTTTACTGTCAGTCTGACTGAAATTTATAAAAATAGTGAAGGTCTTTAAAAGTCTTAAATTAATTGGGTCTAAAATAGAATCCTCGTTCAAATAAGACGTTGTTCAAATAAGATGAATACTTCTAATAGAACTTTTAGTATTGGGTTGGTGAATTGAAAACTGCGGGACTTTGAGCTAAAATTTATTCAACATAAAACTATAAATTCATTCCAAACAATTTCCTTTATTATTGACGATTTCTGCCCATTTTACAGGCAATTTTCGGATTCTTCTTTCGTAGTAGGATTTTGGTTTGTGTGTGAGACAAGTGTGAGACTCAAAAATGGAAGACTGGAGATGTCATATGTCCCAGTTTCACAACTTTCTTCAAAAGAAACCCATTTTGGTGTCAATAGAAAAGTTGTAGAGAATCAAAAATTAGGCTTATAGCCAAATTTCCAAAAAGATACACTTAGTAGTTTCGCTTAAAAAGCAAGTTTTGTTGCAAGTTTTGTGAAAATTCGTAAAATTGGCATTTCTTGAAAGCCAGTTTTTGAATCGTTCTGAAAATTTGGACATAAGCTTGATTTTTGATTCGCTACAACTTTTCCATTGACACCAAAATGGGTTTCTTTTGAAGAAAGTGCTCAAACTGTCACATATGACAATAGCCGGCAGTTTTCAATTCACCAACCCAATAGTTAAATCTTCTAATAGAACTTTTAGTAGTTTGATCAATTATCATTCAACAAGACGGACAAGACTTTCCGGTCAAACCAATAGATAAACTTTTACTAAGTCTTTGAACAGTCTTGATATGAGCAATACAAATGGATAGCGAATAGACTATAGTAAGATCTTATAACTCTAGAATAAAACTAAAAAGAGGGAATTGTCAAAAACTCTCAAAAAAAAAAGACCGCACATTTCACTTACCGCACATTTTCTGATCTTTCACCCCAGTCACCGCTCCTTTTTCTCTCCAATCCAACGACTCGGGCAAATCCTCCAACGAGACACCGTAGTCCTCCACGTCGATCTTTTTATTCGGATACACCGGCTTCGTCCAATTATACGGTAAATAGATCTGCAAAAGAATTTTGTTGGCAAGGGATTTAAAAAATTAATACAACAAAACCCTTTGAATTACGGTCAGCTTTGAACCTTGTCTATTTTTATCTTCTAACACCTTACTTAAAAGGAGATTCCTGTTTTATATTCAATTTAATAAATGGTGTTTCAAAGGGCTCATCAGTAGTAGTGCTGTTATTTAATGTAGAGATTTTTGAGGCCTAGTCAAAATAACGCTCATAGGGTTATCGATACGAGGCTACAAAAATAGGGTTATCCATACGAGCCCCGCTCCATTTCCCATTAGCAATCCAACTTTGAACTTAAATATCTTGGTGTTGAGCTGTTCAATTTAAATATTCTTGGTATTATTAGATGCGCCAAGTCTTTCTCTGTCGATCTGTCAAAAAAAACTAAAGCTTTTGAAAAACCCAAAAAGACGTTAGCTAATCTACATTAAAATCTGGAATTTGCGTTTAAATTTGGCGCGTGAAAGATCAGAAAATGTGGGGTAAGTGAAAGCTTTTTTATCTATTATCGTTTATCTTAACTAGGCCAACAAATCGCCTTAACTAGGCCATTTGTTTTGAAACGCACTTGTTTGAACTCGTCCCGCGTCAAATCGGAGAAACGAGTGATTCCGTAGACGGCTGTGCCTAGAAAATGTTTCCTTTGTAAAATGTAACTCTACTGTAACGGAGCTGTAACTCTTCCCAAACGCTTACCATGTTCCCGTCGCTGAATCATTTTCGCGTATTGAAGATTTCTCTTGAAAACGCGGAAACGATGCAGGGTTTCCCGTTTTGATGAGTAGTACTTCTCGTGACTGAAAAGACTGAGTGAAGGACTGAGTAACGATAGTCTTGGCAAAGAACTAGCTGACTATTTTGAAACGCAAACTTCAAATAATAAGATATATTAAATGTTTCATTGAAACGCACTTTCCCATAAAATCAGCAAACATGTTCCACGTGGAGTAATCAACGGGTTTAATGTGAGCCACCATGTGGATTTTCCCATGATCCATCGACAACTTGGCCTTGTTTCCATAAACGTAATCGCTAAAATTTTGTATGCTAAAGTTAATTGTTTAAGAACGTACGCTTGGAAGTCCGAAGCGATTTTTTGTTTCTTTTCCTCGCGTTTCAAATGGTACGGAGTCTCGCAGTTGAGCAGCTGAATAACAATATTTATGTTTAATCCTTAATTTTTGAAAAAGCCAAGCTAAAAAGTTAATACTTGTATATTAAACATTATACTTCTTATTCTTTCAGCTAGAATTTTCTAGTTTTGAGCTATCAAATTCAAAGATTTATCAAACAGTATCAAATTCTCGTTTAATCTTCTGTAATGTGTTTCAAATGTTAGCTAGTATTGCTCTAGCTAGTATCTTAATCTTAATTTGGATTTAATAAAAGTTGCTTGAGGTTTGAATTTGATAACTTATCAAAATAGTGGATTTGATAGATCAGGTTTAGTCTAGAATCTCCCTCAAACTCACCTCAACGTTCTCATAGTTTTCCCAGATACGTCGGTGCACTTGCACGGTGCATTTCTGAACGTTAACTTTTATAATAGTTTAACAGATCTAATTTAGTTCTATCAAACGATTTAGAACTCGGTAATTATTATAGACAATCTCTTTACCTTGTGGCGATTCGTTTGACGGCAATCGTTCGGCTGGAGTAGAGCGCTCTGAAAAGTATAATCAATGGGTTTTAAAGTATAATCAATGGCTTCAAAATTTCTCGATATCAATTTATAGCTAAATTCTACAGGAAAATAGTGCTAAAATTTAAATTAGATATTCAATTCAATACAATTCAATACAATTCAATACAATTCAATACAATTCAATACAATTCAACTTTTATTTAAAGTTTTATCTAAAAAAAGGCTTATTTCAGCTTTCCATAGACTATCTAACAAATTGTACTGGATAATTATTTAAAAAAGCTTTAGCATTATTTCCAAAAATTACTAATCAATCTGTGAATAATCAATCTTCAAAGTTTCAATCCAAAATTGCTGACCGCTTTCTTGCAATCAGTCTGAGCGATGACGATGTACAATGTGAATTGCTCTCCATTCACCAATTGTTTGTGCGCCTCGGACACTTCGACAAATGACCACTAAAATGGGTTTCAATCAGGACTTCAATTGGGTTCTAAAACCAAGATCAGAGCTTAGTCATAAGCCAAGTTCTAGTCAGGCTTAGACTGGGTTTAGAAGCTTTTTGTGGGTTAGTTCCAACCATAGCTGGATCGGGAATTGTTTGATTTTTGATTGATTGATTTTTGAGACAACTTTGATTCAGGATCAAGTAATTAAGGATTTACAATTGAATTTTCCTAGTCTTATCACACTTATTGTAAAGCTGTGTCTCGCTACAATATCCCGAGGCAAGAGCAATTGGCTCTTGTAACATTGACGGGACTTTTGGCCATTTTAGAAATATTTTTCACTTTGTTTATGTTTGCGGTAATTTATCAACAAGCAAAAATAGAAACAGCAAGTATTTTCTAATGGTTTAAACGATAGCGAAAATGAAACATAAAACAACACGTTGCAAAGTGGAAAATATCTCTAAAATGGTCAAAAGTTCTGTCAACGCTATAAGAGCCGAGCAATTTAGCCAACAAGACTGACTATTTAAAATGGGCAACGGCTTTCTAATGGACAACGGCTTTCTAATGGACAACGGCTTTCTAGGAAAGTAGTTAGACAAGAAACTTTAGCTATCAACTACAGATCTGTCAACAATCACTGTCAACAACAATCAATCAACAAACAAACAGAGAAATCACCAACCGTAAATAAGCTGTTCGATTGCTCGTTGTACTTCTTCACGGCCTCTTTAGCGTAATTCTGAAAACAAAAAGATTTGAGAATTCAGTTCTTTCCCAAACCTGATACATTTCCCTGTTCGCTTCATCACCGATATTTTTCTTCTCTCCCACCAACACTCCACCGAAAGCCAATGGGAATATTTGTAGCAGAATTACCCAAAGCATTCTAAAAAAAAACGGTTGATCATTTGAAACATAAAAGCTTTGAAAAGAGAAAAAGAGAAAAAAGAAAATTAAGACAAAAAGAGAACAAAGTTTTCTATTGATTAATCTACGAATTCTAGAATTGAAAGAGATTTGAAACCGTCTTTTTGACCAACTGAGCTCCAAAGGATCACATCTGGTTTGAATTTGAAGATCATTGTGAGGAAATCTTCAAATAGAAAAAAATTCAGTTATACAAGAATCCAAAAACTAGATATGGGGTTAAAAACTGGGTGGGAAAATTGATTAGATCAATTAGAAATTAGAAAATTGATGGGGGTGGGACAAATGCGACTTTTTTTAGCGCACCTGGACATTTGCGCACCTTTTTTTTCGCTGAAAAAAGCCTTAGGAAAGGCCGTAGAGCTTCAAAAAATGTTTTCATAGGGGAATCGTATGCGTAGATTCCGAATTTCGACAAATCAGGCCTCGCTGACACGTCAAATTTGGACCAAAAGGCGACAACTGCGGAAAAGCGTTGAGTTGCGTAGTTTTTGCCTTTTAGCCCAAATTTGACGTGTCAGCGAGGCCTGATTTGTCGAAATTCGGAATCTACGCATACGATTCCCTTCCAGGAACACATTTTTGAAGCTCTACGGTCTTTCCTAAGGCCTTTTCCAGCGAAAAAAAGGTGCGCAAATGTCCAGGTGCGCAAAAAAAGATAGCATTTGTCCCACCCCAATCAATTTTGTAAATATCTACTGAATTTTTGAAAAATATTGATTCACAGTTGAGAAAGAATAGATCACGGTGATAAAATGACTGCGTTCTAGAGAAGACAAAAGATTTTAAATGAAGAATAAACTTTATTTTGTCCAAAAAGTCCATTTTGATCACTCCAATCAAAGCAGCTCATCTTGTTTGAATTTGTTTGTGACCAGCCATCTTCAGCTTCATCTTCAGACCAGCTGGTCACAAACAAATTCAAACAAGATGAGCTGCTTTGATTGGAGTGATCAAAATGGACTTTTTGGACAAAAAAGTAAAGTTTATTAATTAACAAATTCTAAGACCCTTTCCGAAAATTAAAGTCTCAAATTTGTGCATGTTGAGTTGGGAATTTTGAAACATTAAAGGGGGGTATTAATCGCGGCCGGGTGACGATAGAAATTTTTTTACGGCAACCACCTGTTTTTTTATTTTAATATCGCTGATTTTATTATAAAAAGAATAAAAATCACCCGGCTAGAGTGATTTGATGGGTTTACAAATTTTTGGAGACACTGCAAGGCTTGGAGAAAAACAAGATCGTCACTCATCAGACACCTCAGCACAGTCTAGATCGATTGAGTTTTAATTGCAGATAAATTTAAAAACAAAATAAAAAGCACAAAAAACAATAAAAATAAATTGTTAATCTATAATTCTTCCTCTTGCTCACTTTCATCTTCGCTCAAGTACAGCAGTTCCTCAAAGCGGCTTCCTATCTTATCAATTTCCAGCGCATCTTCACCAGAAGTGGCTGGATCTCCTCCACCGTAGGACGTCTTTAGCGCTTTGATTGACACAATTAGATCTTTTTTCCATTTGTGGTCGCTTGTGGTTTTAGTTTTCTCAAATAGGTGCCTTTTAGCTGAGGTGTCTGATGAGTGACGATCTTGTTTTTCTCCAAGCCTTGCAGTGTCTCCAAAAATTTGTAAACCCATCAAATCACTCTAGCCGGGTGATTTTTATTCTTTTTATAATAAAATCAGCGATATTAAAATAAAAAAACAGGTGGTTGCCGTAAAAAAATTTCTATCGTCACCCGGCCGCGATTAATACCCCCCTTTAATGTTTCAAAATTCCCAACTCAACATGCACAATTTTGAGACTTTATAAAAATGGGCGATGCTGAATAAAAATCTCGATTTTGCAATTAAATTGAGAAATTTTGAAACATTAACTTCAAAACAATGCCAAAAATTGTACATTAGTGCTAAAAGTAAAAATTAGACTAATGAAAATTAAATTTTTCAAGTCAAATATATAGGAGAAAGCTTGATCTTGAAGGGAGTGGGACAAATGCTATCTTTTTTTTTGCACACCCGGACATTTGCGCACCTTTTTTACCACACCTTGCTCATTAGCGCACCTTTTTTCGCATTTTAAAAAAAGCTCTAAAAAGCTAATATTAATCAATTTCTATTCCAAAAGTTGTTTTTCTAGGTAATTTTAGGGCGTAGAATCGAAATTCTGACAGATCAGAGCTTGTGGAAGCGAACGGACGGAGTTATACAAAGAGAAAGATCGACAATTTTCTGTAATTTGATCTAGCCGTTTTGTCTTTCAAATTGGTTCCACAAGCTCCGTTATGTCAAAATTTCGATTCTACGCCCTTAAATTACCTAGAAAAACAACTTTTGGAATAGAAATTGGTTAATATTAGCTTTTTAGAGCTTTTTTTAAAACGCGAAAAAAGGTGCGCTAATGGGCAAGGTGCGCAAATGTCCGGGTGCGCAAAAAAAAGGTCGCATTTGTCCCACTCCCGATCTTGAATGAACAATGCTTTTTAAATTTATAAATGAAAATTCTAAAAACGAAGAGCAACTACATTAATTCAAGGCTTAATTTTGCAATTCAACTTTGAATTTTTGAAACATCGATTTTTTCACTTGTTAAAAAAGGCGATTTACAAATTTTATACAAAGAAGGAAGCGTATTTTGATGATTTTGAAAGGAATGAAAGATTGCAATTTGATGTGAAAGATAAGATCTTAAAAACACGACTGGGGGGTCACACGATTGGTGTAAGAAATATGTGGCACTAGAGGAGTGGAAAACACAGCCAATTGGGCTGTGGTGAAATGCGAGGAAAAGAAAGGGGAAAAGAAATGGCACAGCTGTGGCCTTTCTTTCTCAATTCTCAATTCAAAGATTTCTTTGAATCAAGAGATGAATGGGCCTTTGTGGAGGGGAAAAGAGTAGACAAATGATCACTCTTTCCAAAGCAAATCTTGTGATGTACTCGAGGTCATCGGGGTCAATTAGCGTTCGGTGAGTTCCTTTTGAAGATTTAAAGTTTAAATTGGTTTAAAAAGGCCGATATGGATTGAAAACGGCTGGCCGATATGGATTGAAATTTAAAACACCTGCCATTAGAAGAAATTGAAAGAAAGAGATTGCTTTTTTGGGATTGTTTTTTTGGGATTGCTTTTTGGGATTGCTTTTTGGCTTGAAGAATCCAATGCACTTGTTGAAAAGATCCAATGCACTTGCTCTTTTCTTCATCTTCATTCATTCATTTTTTTCATTTTTGAATTTGGCTCCTTTTTGCGCTTCTTGCGGTTCTTTTCTTTTATTCAAAATTACAAGCGACGCGTTGGTTTATCGTTTTTATCGTTAGTTTTTCAAATGTTTGTAATTAAATTTCTAAATTTTGGTTTTTTAGGATAAGCTGGAGGTTTTAGGTAAGCTTTATTTTGTAGTGAGCTGGAGTTAAGTCTTACCAGATGGATCGAAAATTGTATGGAACCCGGCCGAGAATTGATATGAATGTGATGTTTATACCGAGATTCAATCATTCACCTTGATCCGCTGATAATAGAGGATAAAAGCCATCAATGCAAAATCATTGGCTCAAATGCGACGAATATGCTGAAATCTGCACAAATTGATGTGGAAATTGAAAGTGCAATTATCTGCAACAAACGTTATCTGCAATAGTCGTTGCCATCACAACAATGATTGAAACACGACAAGTGAAATCACTAGATTTTAAGCTTATTTCGTTATTTTAAGCTTATTTGCTTATTTTAAGCTTATTTCCTTATTTTAATCACAAAAAGATGAAATTTTTCGACTCCAACGCGTGCTATCTAAAGCTTGATCTCTGTTTCTTGATGATCTCCGTTTCGTAGAAAGTTTTTGTAAATTTGCATTGATATTAGACCTTTAAAAAGAACGGATTCTTAAGGCAGAATCATCAAAAAAGGCGGATTCTTAAGACATACAGAATTTAAAAGCTTTTTATATCACTTTCAATGCATCAATTGAACATCAATGTAAACAAAATCAAACATTTTTATATGAAGGGAAATTTTTGAGAGAAAAAGTTTGCTGTAAAAGCAAGTTTCTCTGAAATTCAATCTAAACAAGGGATCAAATGAAAAAGAAAAGAAATTCGATGACTTTTCACATAGCAAAAAGCACTTAAGGCTTCAAAATGGGAAGCCAAGCAGTGAAGAAAAGAGTTTAACAATGCTCAGATGAATTACAACTAACAGCATTAGAAATTTGAACTGTTAACTTATTAGCCTTGAAAAATTCGACAAGATTTGAGTTTTAAGTGATCTTAATTGATTGATTGAGTTTTTTGATTGGATTTTGGCTTGGCATAGGTTTTAAAATTCCAAATTCAGATAATAAACTCAAGAAATTCATAAGAGAAGCCTAAAAATTTGGTAGAAATGGGAGCAAGAGCGTTGAAATGTGTGCGTGTTCGCTTTTTTTTGGGTGGAATGGAGAAGAGATGTCCAGTGGAAAAGGGGGAAGATGAATATCAAAAAGAATTCCCTTTGGGAGATGGGGAAAGGGACCAATAACAGAAGATTTTGTTGAAGGGTAGGATTTCTTTTTGTTGGTGTTTGTGGAATTGAAAAGTTGAGAAAACAAAGTAGTTGATTACAGGATTACAAAGTAGTTGTTGTGAATTGCCACTGCTCTGCAGTTAGTCAAAAATTCAATACACAAGTTAAAATTCAAAGTTGATGGATAAACTACCGTAATCAGTCACTAGACGATATTCAGCTGTCCGTTTGTTGTAGCTTGTATACTTAAAAAACCCGTTTTTTAAGCTTTGCTTTTTGAGTGAGTTTGTTGTTCTCCTTTTTTGCTTTTGTCATCCTTTTTTTTCACATGGAAGTGTTGAATTAATTGTGATAGTGCCAGGTTGCTCCAGTTTGAGCGAAGTTTGCCCTAATAATTGTTGGAATGGAAAGTTGGATAAATTGTGCGTTTTCAAGAAGACCACTATTGAACCA